TTATTTATTGATTTGAGATTTGTTTTAAAATTTCAATTTAGCTTTGTTATATTTTAATTTCACAAAGAAACGTGCAACAATAGCCTACTAAAAGGACACCTTTTCATTTACTATATATTTTGTCTTCAATAACATTTTGTAAAAAAATTTGTGAGAAAATCGAATCGTGAAATCAAAATCGTGAATCGAATCATAAGTTGAGTGAATCGCTACATCCCTACTTATGAGTTGGTTCTTTTTAGTGAATCGACAGCATACCTCTACCTCTAAATCAGTGTTGTCCGATTCCCGAACAATTGAGTCTTATGAGTTGGTTCTTTTTAGCAAATCAGCAACAAACTGCTGAATCAGTGTAGTCTGATTCCCAATTGAATGAGTCTTAAGGCTTGTGTAGTTATGGACCGGTTGTTCATATGTCAATATGTGTAGTACAAGACACACTTTTATCAGTTTTGTCAAAAGTATTTCATATGAATGAATGAAATATGGTTGTTTAGTATTATTGGTATTGTTTAATATATTTTAAGGCCAATTATTGGACTGCATTTGTGTCGCTTCTTAAAAATAAATCAGAATATCAAAATTATGTAATGAAAGTTATATAATTTTACACAATTTTTTTGTATGAAATTATTTTTTCCCCAAAAAAATCATTTCCTCAAAAGTAAAATTAAAAAAAAAAATTAAAGAAGTGGAATCGTTAGCAGAAAAAAAAAAATGTTTTAAAGAAATATATGTAGTTTATATGCCTATGTGTTGTTATATTAGTGTATATAAATGCACATTATTAAGTATCTTTTGCTTATTTAGTAAAACAGTGTAAAAAAAAAATATTTTGTTAAAATTATGGTGAAACTGAAAAAAAAAATATTAAGATATGATTTAAATGTCATCAAAAGAAATATTGCGATGTGACTATTTAGCTGTATTGCCCAGCCATAAACGCAACACAACTCTTCTATTTCTAATTTTAATGTCTTTGTTTGTTCAACTCCATAATAGACAGGATATATAGTCAGAATGTGTCCTTGTTGGGGAAGATGAGAGAGGAGTGGCTGAACGAGCATGTCAAAGCCTGTGAGGTGAGCTTTACGCCCCAACCTGCATCACACACTCCAACACTGATGATCGCTTTTCACAACACATCGATGACAAATCAAACGTGCTCATGTCAGGTCATGTGAAGCCTGCATACCTCTTGAAAATGGGTTGTGACTGTATGGCATTTCGTGTTGACTGTAAAACCATTAAAGGTCAAACAAATCTATTGAATTACACATAAAATGCCTAAATTAAAACATGCTTCAACAAGTTGTTTTATATTTGGTGATTATTGACTGACTGGTGTACTGAATGAGGAAAGACATTTTTTCTACTTTGACATCTCTTGTGCATGTTTGCCACAGTTTTTTGAGAAACAGGAAGTGGAGAGGATCAGAACCCTGAGAAACGTTGTGTGGACCCATCTCAACCATCTCTCCCAGCAGTGTGTCACCAGCGATGAGGTAACCTGACTGTGCGGCATCAGGTAAGACCCACATGTGGAACTCGCCTCACCATGTGTATCTGTGTTACGCAGCTCCTTGAGGAAGTGAGGAAGTCACTGGAGCAATGTAACATTCAAGAAGACATTGAGCATTTTATCAACCTCAGAAGAACTGGAGACAAACCACCAGGTACTGGTGCAGCAGCAGGGTTTCACAACAACACATTAAGGTTTGGTGTCACGCTCACGGGCGACATCCAGTCATTTCAAATGGAATCCATGCAGCTAAGTTTGTATGAGGGTGTAAGATTTCCCAGCGCAGATTTCATATCAAGTTGGTGACACGAATCAACAGTGTTGACCAGCAGAAAGTTTGAAAGTGACTTTTTGTGAGCTGTGCTTCATACATTGCAGTACTACTGAGAATGGATCTTTACTGTGCAAAATTTTGCACAAGTTTCACTAATGTGAACACACATTTACTGTGTATTTTGTTATGTGAACTTTTTAGCTCTAATCTGAATAGAAATTAAAATTCAGTTTATTTACTCACCCTCATTATGAAAAATGTTCTGGTTTTTTTCTGAAATGAAAAAAGCATCATAAAAGCACCATAAAATTAGTCCAAATTACTTTGTCCATTGTCCGAGCGGGTTCGGGTCCAAAACTTAGGCGAGTACCTCGGACACGGGTCAGGTTCGGTATTAGCGGCCTCGGGTAATTTAAAATAAACATGCTTTTTCGGACCCGATTAGACCCAAATTCTTTTAAACTATCCCGAATGCGTAGGCTATTTTCACTTTCGCGTTAAGTGAGAAACGCACATAGAAAAGGAGCATATTTGTAACCTCGCACACAGAAATCATCTTATAGATATATGAGATCCATCAGGAAAATCCACTCGCTTCATTATGCTGCCTGTTCATATTGGGCTTTTCTTTTTTGTGTGCAGAAGCCTTTCGCCGGAGATCAGGTTGCAGACAACACTATCGAATCCATCAATTATTAGGCTATTGATTTATTTTTTATCAAACTATCACGTTTATTTTTCAAGTCCACTGGTCACAATTGAAAGCCAAGCTCTTATACTTTACTTTATATTACTTACATAATATATTACTTACATTATTTACTCTTATACTTATACCAAGCTCAATAACTTGTATCCATCAGGCAGGCACTAATATAAAGTTGCCTAATAATAAATTGAATAAATGTTAAATAAATCAAAGTAATGGAGAAGCGGACAAATCGGTCAGCAGGACACCGGGATTTTTCCTGATTGACTGCGGGGCTGCAGGCTGTACACAAGTCAATGCTGTTTACATTTGGGTCCAGTCGGGTTCGAAATTCAATTTCATCGGGTCTGTCTCGAGTCGGGTTTTTCTTTAAAAAAATTAATTTATGCACGTTGGGTTCGGGTCTCATATATCATATATCTTCTGAGGGTTCATATGGTTTACTTTTATGCAGTGTTATTTTAGCATTGAGGTACTATTATAGTTTGTAATAATACTTTTAATAATAATAATACTTTTAATCAGTTTTAATTTTCATATTTTCCATTTTCATTTTATCTTGAAAGTTTTAGTCATTTTTAGTAGTTTATTTATGTATATATATATATATATATATTTCATTTTATCCCATTTTTAAGTATTTTACTACATCAAGTTAAACTAAATTAAAAATGAGAAATGTAGCTGAAATAAAGTTTTTGTATTTTATTCTGTTTCAGTTAAAGTTTTATTTTAAGTGATTTTTTTCAATGATTTTAATTTTAGTTTCAGTTTTACTTTTAGTTAACTATAATAACCCTGCCTTTATGCAGCCTTTGTCCTTATCAGAGCTTGACGGTCTGTTGTAAAGAAAAGAACGTGACCGTGAACTTTCTCTTTGAGTTCCACTCAAATATGAGTTTGATGACATTTTATGTTTGGTCGAACTTTCCTGTAATGTTTATTAATTTGATCTTTTCTCAGCATCTGTTCCATATGAGAACTTCTACAATAATCAGAGATCAGCTCCCACTCGGTCACTTCCCACAGCTGGCAGGTGAGCCCTCACGCCTCACAGATGGCAAATTTACCAATTACCGATTAGTTTATTTTATTCCTTATGTAAATATGACCATCAGCTTTAATATTATCTTACGTCTTGCTGTGTTTTATTTCAGGAGAGCTGCAGCACCTCCACCACCAACTGCAGAAAGTATGAAAATATTATATGCATATAGCAATGAGTTTATACGTTCTCTTCTGTATGCTTATTTAATTCCCATTTCTTGTTGCATCTATCATCCTCAGATGATCCTTTATACTCAACCGCAGCAGAACCAGGATACAGCCTAATACGATACTAATAAGATCACGGCTCGGTAAGAATTCTCGCAGGAATGTAACCTTGACGTACAATTTACAAACAGTATAATATTAATGCTGGACCAAGTATTATACAGTTAATACTGTTGTTTATGAATCCCTGGAATGCTCCCTTGAGGAAATGGTGTTTAAGTTATTCATTTTTTTCTTTTTCAGTCTTTGCAAGCCCTTATGCTGCTCAATAGGAATATTGTGAAGGCATTTGTTACATTTTTCATCAAGCGTTGAAAAGCACATTGGTTACCGTCTAATGCTGTTGCCAGCTTCCTCATACCATGTGGTGAGAATATATTGTAGCCTGGCATGAAGAGTTTCCTCGTCTCTGTATAAAAAAACATTGTTAACTTGCTAACCTAAAATCCACTCATGCAAACACGGTGAGCTTTGACACTATTACATAGTCATAAAAAGTCAAAGCCTGAAGTTCTCACTACACTGATAACATCAACAAACAACGTTGTATAAATATTTGTATTTTATTTACTGTAAAAAAGATGTATAATTTTGCACCACTAGTGGCATCAAATGGAATTGCAGTGTGTTTGAACAGCCTTATTGGGCTCAACCAATGGGGTGAGTTTGGAAGCGGGGCTACCCATTTGGCCAACCAATGGAAAACAGGAAAGGACCAATTCTTTTGTCATTATTTTTTAAATTCAGTTTGGTGTAGCTAGTGGTCCAGTAATTACACGCTTCACTTTTAAATCAGCTTTTTATAAAGGCCACAAAAATATAATTTATTTCTAGTGTAAAATTCTACACACTGTCAATACAGAGTCCTGCATCACTGGATATATTGCTTCAATAAATGTACTGTATATACGATTTGATCTGTGGTATTGACATTGTGGTATGTCAGCTTTATTCCTCTGTGGAGAAGTGTCTGTTTGAGTCGTGAATAGAAAACTGTTTCCAAGATAACTGCAGATTGTGAAGTGTGCAACCAGTCAACATTTTGTTTCCTCACAAGGTCACAGGAGCTGAGGAGCCTTTGAAACCTTTGGTCACATATGAGGTCAAATTTGAAACCTTGCAGTGGAAAGTTCTTAAAAGAACCATTTTGTCTTGGTGTGAAGAACTTTCTAAATCTAAAGAACCTTTTTCCATTATGAAGAACCTTTTGTGCATTGCAATGTTCCATGGATGTTAAAGGTTCTTCATGGAATCATTGATTCCAATAAAGAACCTTTAGTTTTAAGGGAGTTCTGAAAGGTTGACCAATGGTGGGAATTCAAAAGCAGCCTTGCTCAAATAAGGACCTTTGTTGGTCTAAACTGAACAAAGTTGTTTTTTTCACAAATTCAACTCTTTGAATCATAAAGCTGTTCAGTGCTCATTAGGAACCCAAAGGAACCTACAAGATCCACTTGGTGTGTGAGAAGTGAAAGCCTTTCCATGTGGGAAAACCTTGGTCTTTACTGTACTGTGGTCCCTGATTGCGGTCTTAAAGCACACTTTTCCATCATCTCCACTCATTTTAAGATCAGATATGACAGATGGGGTTTGTGTAACCACTCGAAGCCCATGGAAAGCCCCAAATATGTTCACCCTTTGTGCAATCAACTCTCCAGAGGACATCTCAAGGCTTTGATTCTGGGTCAGGCCTGAATCTTCACTTAGTTGCCGAGGAGCCTGTTCATCCTGGTCCAGCTGGGCCTTCAGATGCTCCAAGTCTACTTGTACAAGTTCATTTTCAAGCCTGGGCTGCTTGGAACTGGACGGACAGTTCAAGATGTTGTCTTCAGCATCTCCGCAGAGAAGGTAATTCCAGCTGGACCACAGCTGCCGCTTGACCCCTGATGTTGGGCTTTGTTTGTCAGTGGTGGTGGAGTTAGTTAAAGCTGTGGGTGATGGATCTGATGGCTCTTCCTGTGTCAGCAGAGAGATCCAGGAGTGTTCAGAAGAGTGATCCTCTGTTGGCCTCACAGGAGTGCAGTGTGATACTGAGTCTCTCTGGAACGATGTTGTCAGGGCCTAGTAGACAGGAAGTGGAATTGACAAACGCTCATTCGAGGGTGTGACACTGAAAATGTGGCGGTCTTGTTGCCCTCTGGCTGCTGAAGTTTCACAGATATATGTGTAATATAACATCACAGTTTATAAAACAGATGACTTTTGAATGGTCAATTCAGCATTTGTCACAATTACAAGATCAAAGACATGCGAAACCTGCAAATAATTCCCATTTCATCCATAAACTGTTCAATATATACAAATAGAAAGAAAAATTTTTAAATTATATATTTAATAAAAAATAAATATGTTATGAAATGCTGTTCACAATGCATTTTACTTCAAAATATGGCGTATTTCAGGGTGAAACAGGATATTCAGTTAGAAAAAAATAGTTGGGAATTGATTGAATGGTGAAAGTGAGTGTCACTGTAATTGGACAAAGACAAACCTTTCTTCATTGGAATAACGCACAGGTGAAGCATTCACAAGAATGTGCAGTAAAAAGTTAAATAACTTTTGAATTCAATTTTGATTTTATGCTACATTTTTGCTGAATTTATATTGTGATTTCAAGGCCTGGAATTGTTTTTCATAATCACTGCAATATATGGAAGCATTTTTCTCTGATTAATTAAAAAAAAAAGGTAATTGCGACTTTATTTTAACAATCCTGAGTTTATATCTCGCAATTCTGACTCTTTTTTTCTCAGATATAAACTCACAATTCTGAGAAAACGTCAGAAAGGTAAGTTGTGAGATATAAATTTATAATTGCAGGATATAAACTTGCAATTATGAAAATTCAGAAATGTGAGATAAAAAGTCAAAATGACCTCTTTTATTTTTTATTCATGGCAGAAACAATAAATGTCACAACTGCAAGATGTAAATTCAGAATTTTGTGAAAAAGTTTATCTCGCAATACTTACGATTTTCCTCAGAATTAAAAGTTTATATCTGAGAAAAAAGTCAGAAGTGTGAGATAAAAATGTCACAATTAGCTTTTTCTATATTTCATTCATGGCTAAAACAAACAAACAAAAAAGTCGCAATTGCAAAATGTAAATTTGGAATTGTAAGAAAAACATTTAATGAACAAGTTTATAGCTCTCAGTTTATATCTGAAAAAAAGTCAGAAGTAGAAGATATAAACTCAGTCCAGAGTTTATTTCTCGCACTTCTGACTTTTCTCTCAGATAAAAATGTGCAATTATGAGAAAAAAGTCAGTATTGCGAGATATAAACAAAGACTTCTTTGCTGAATGTCACCATACTGACTTCTCAATTGCTAGTTTATATCTGAGAAAAATGTCACAATTACAAGATGTGAACTCCGAATGGCAAGAAAAAAGTCAGAATTGTGAGATAAAAAGTGGCAACTGTACACTGTAATTATAAGGAATTCTGATGTACTGTATTGTCTTGATTATTTTCTGGGAAAAATGCTTTACATCTAGTATTGTGGCATAATGTTCAGTCTGTTCAGCCAGATTTCTCAGCTGGGCATTTGTCTCCTTCAGGGCAGATATTTCCTCTTGCTTTCTCCTGAGTGTGGCATGAAGCTGCAGAGAAGAGACACATGATTATTACTCACTAACACACTTAGTGAAGTATGTGAGCACTGGCATGGAGACATGAGATAATGTGATTCATGATGACCTAGTCAAACATGTGCCCTCAAAACAGAATGAGCTCATTCAGTTTGCATACCTGAACAAGCGAAGAATCATTATCATGCTTATGCATTTTCATAAGAAACCATTTATCAGATGACATGCAGCAGAATCTGAATAGATTGCTCAGTTATTTGAATTACAAATATAAGGATGCACTGACAAAACTGTGGTCTGAACAACACTTGCTAAGGCAAGATAATCATTTCTGAGTCACTAAGGAATATAACAAACAAAAAGAGAAGTGGTCAGCAATTATGTCACATAGGACATTTTTATGTAGAAATCAGCAGCTGCAGTGTGTGAATATTTTTCCAGTTCTCTAAAATGTTTTTAACTTGTTTAATCCCACAGGTTACATCTGTGAATGAGACCTGGATTTTATGAGTTTGTACAATTAAAGCTATTCCAGTTTGCCTCTTTGAAAAAATGGTCTTTGTTACATTAAATGAAAACATTCAAATGTAAACGAAATGTACATTTATTCATTTCTGTTCTACAAACAATTGGCTTTTAAAATGCATTATGTAACTTTAGTGTTTGCAGCTTTATAAATTTATTTGGGTGTTGTTGAGAAAGTGAGCATGTTATGATTCTGTAGTTTCCCACTGGTGACCAAGAATAAACCACAATTTGACTAACTTCTTAAAAGCTTTTTTAGAGAAGCCAAGAAGTTTCGTTTTCAAATGTTTCACTGGTCAATCCAAGGAGTAAAATTCATGCAGTCACTTATCTGAGGATGGTTTGGGAATAAATGAGCTTATACTGAAGTGGGATATTTTGGCTGATTCTTGGACTAGGGGCAATTTTGACTTAAAAAATGTTAACATTAAAGGGGTCATGACCAGGGCCGGATTTACCTCTTTTCGTGACATAGGCAAAACAAATTTTTGGGCCCCCCTTCCCTATTAATATAATAGCCTAGGCCTAATATTACCACCCAAGCAAACAAAATATTTCTTAACCAGTGGAAACCGTTACAGTGTTTTCTATCGCAATAAGCTTTGTTTCAAGACATTTAACATGTTTCCGTCCTGAAATCTCGTGTGTGTTGAACTATTTTTTTACGCACCTCATCCCAAACCTTCCGTTGCAAATTCCAAAACGTCATTTTAGAGCTAATAACGGAGGCTTGAGCCATTGATATGCAGGCTAATGCAGTCTAATGCGGTTATTAGAGAGGGAGAGAGAGATAGATTAAGTGCGTGTGAATACCTGCGTCTATGCGTCTCTCAGCAGCGTCTACTAATAGCGAATCTTTTAAGTTAAACTGCTTCAAGAACCTCGCTACTGAGAAATGTCATGTAGCTTTTCAGCTGCGAAACTGTTTTATTGCTAAATTCGCGGGGCAGCGCTGACAAGAAGTTTCTGTTCGTGTCTCCGCGTGTGTGCACGAGTGCGTGTGCGTCTGTGAGAGAGACTGGGAGAAAGAAAGCATGATTTCCGTAGCCTACATAAAAAAGGTGGAAGACATGGAAATAGTTTCATTTTTTACCCTATTGTTTGTTATATTTATTTGCTCAATTTCTTCTGGGGTTTTGGTTCTTTTACTGTTGTAGATAGCCCATAGTATAACAAAAATATTATATATCTCTTCATTGTGTTTGGGCCCCCCCTGGACGAGTGAGCATAGGCACGTGCCTAGAATGCCTATGCGTAAATCCGGTCCTGGTCATGACATGAGAAACCAAATTTCATAACTTAAAATGTCCTCATCATCAATTAAAAAGCATTTATGTAATAACCCTCAGAAAACGGCTCGTTTGGATCAGAGGTGCCAGGGTGACTTCACCTGGGCACAGTCGTTTGCATAAACACCGCCTCCAGAGCAAGACATCGACAAATCTTCTTCTCACCATAGGCCCAGTCCGCTGGCTTGATCACGCTAAATGCGAGTGTTGTGTTGCGTCAAAAGCAAATAGAAATTACAATTACTGCTGCTATCTCGTCTACACTGGATACAGTATACAGATGCGCGTTCACTTTGACACAGTCCACACGCTTGAGTCTGTCGTCAGTAGGACAAATGAAACGAAAGAACATTCGCTTTGATGCATTTGGTTTAAACAGCTCGTTCGCGACTTCGTACAGACATCAGAAGGATCCCAGCGTGAGGAACAAGTGGATAGTTTCTTTTTAATGGCATCCCGGATCGTGTCTGAGGATTGATCGGAGTATTTTGTTTTGTAAACGAGGCACAGTGTCATGAAGAGTTCACAAAGAAACATTTGTTGAAAGATGAAGCGGTACTAGATCTGACTGCTGCTGCATCACAAACCGTAAGTAAATGATTTTATAATGCTTTGTCTGGAAATGACTGTTTTATTTTGATCATGTTGTCAAAACACTCATGCAATAGCTAGGGGGCGTTGATACTCTTTGCGATGACGTTAGCCAATCATAAAAGTCGCTGATTACTGAGAAGCCTTAAAGGACCCGCCCCTTAAAAACAGCCTGTTTCTGAGAGAGGTTCAGAATGAGGGTTGAAAATAATAATTTTCCCACTTTTTTTTTGTGCAAAAAACTTTATTAACATTATAAGTAAACCTCAAGGAACATTTTAAAATAATAAAAAAATCCATGTCATGAGCCCTTTAAATCTATGTTCATCTACATTTATCAAATAGCCTATCTTGGAATAAAGAGTGGATCATGGCCTTGAACAGCCTTCAGTCGAACTTTGGTGTGTGAATTTTTTTTCTTCCATTTTTTGGTCAAAAGGTTGGATAAACCTTGGAAACTTGGCCCAACAAGTCAGCTCAGTCAATTAACTTTGAATTTGTAAAGTTAAAACAGAAATGAACTGCTTCTGGATTAAACCCACCTGTCTATTCAGCTCTAGAGAGAGATCCAGATCTGTGTGGTCTTCATGTGTCATTAAATGTGTATCAGTGGACTGACACTCATCTGTGGATAAGATACAAAATTAAAATTACACTGATTTCAGAGCACTGCAATAATATTAAGAAGAAGAAGAAGAAGAAGAAATAATTGTAAGAAAAACATTAAATGAACGAGTTTATATCTCAGTAGTACTAATGTTTTTCCTCAGAATGACTTGTTTATATCTGAAAAATGTCAGAAGTATAAGATATAAACTAAGTCCAGAGTTTATTTCTCGCACTTCTGACTTTTCTCTCAGATAAAAATGTGCAATTATGAGAAAAAAGTAAGTATTGCGCGATTTAAACTAAAATGGAAGATTTCAGAGCACTGCAATAATATTAATAATAAGGAGAATAAGAATAATGTTTTTATATATTTACAATAATATACAAAAATAAATAAATAATAATTTATAGGCTAATACAACAATAATAAAACGTATTACAATGATAACGTCAAAACATGATAGTAACAACACAGTTTTCACATTTTGTATCTTAATCTACATTTTCATTTTCTCAGGTACAGTAAATCTCACCTGTGGCAAAGTCCAGCAGATCTTCAGTAGATGGTTGTTTGGCTGATAGCTCTGCATGGTCCTGCTGATAGAATGTAATTGTTTAATGTTATTAAATGACCCTCATGCAAATTCCTGTAACTGTTTCATTGATTGTACTGTAAAAGCACTACCGTGAGATAAGGCAGCTGAGGGTAGTAGCAGGTCTGCATGCTGGAGTGATGCTCGGTGTTGATGTGACCGTTGTCGTCAGGTGCGTCACGTGTGTAGCGACCGACTCCGCGCGCTTCAGAGCGCCCGTTCAATTCAGCGCCAAACGAAGCTCCGCCCACTTCACACACTGAATCCTTGACGCCAGGATTAATTCTTAATAATCTATAGCCGTTTTTGTTTGGAGAACAACTACGCGTTCTTACAGCATTTCGTAGTACAATGTCAGAAGAGAATAAAGTTTTAGGATGTACATTTCTTTAAATATTCCTACATTTTACATTATCAACAGTTTCAACCGTTTTTGGCCTTTCTATTCTATTCTATTCTATTCTCTCAAATAATATACCCTACACACAGCCAGACACCACTATGATAAAAAAAAAATTTTTTTAATTAAAATGATAAAATGACCACAGTTATTTTATTACTATACTATTATAGTATTTATTAAAATGTTATGTTAGCTTTTAATTTTAATGTAATTCTCATTTCGTTTTTTAAGTCTATTGAATTAGTTACCAGTCGGCTCCAGGATCTTTCCCGATCCCACCCCCCTTCTCTCTCCCACTTCGCTTCCTGTCAATTCTGATCTGTCCTGTCACAATAAAAAGCCAAAGAAATTGTTACCAGCTTTTTAACATTTTCTGTAGTTTTTTTAAATATATATTTTTATTTCATTTTAATATTTTGCTTAACTTTTTAGTACTTCAAAGGCAATTATTATAAAATATTTAATTTATTTACCAAGAGAAAATTTTTAAGTTAAAGTTTTTCATCTATTTATATTTCATTTAATAATTTTCATTTTATACGCTTGATTTCAATTTTTGAAACATTTTTTTAGTAGATTTAGTTTTAGTTAACAATAACAGCACTGAAAGATGTTTAATTCTATTCCGTTCTATTCTAGTGGTGAATCAACAAAGCACTGACCACTGAGGAATGTGTGATGATCTTTCCCTGCTGGAAAGAACCATGTTGTTGATGGGTTTGTCAGGAAGTACACTAATGTACTTATTGATTATTCAGTTTTATAGGCTTTTAGAACAGACAGACATTCATTTGGAGCCATAAAGCATGTTACTCAAATTTCATCTTTAAAAGACTATCAGACAACCATTATTACAATAAGACAATGCGTTTTGTGGCTCTTTTTTTTGTTTTGTTCTTGTTCTAAATAATATGAAGAAGATTGCATCCTCAAAGTCCACTATGTCAGAGACATTACCCAAGTTAACTTTTAATGTCTATTATTCATCTATAATAATTATGTGTCAGACTTGAGACATGAATCATAACCAGTTACATAATTTAAAAGTTAGATTTACAAGACCATCATTTGTTATAGCATTCACTTTTATCAATAACAAACCAATTAAATTATAACCACAAGATTGTTTCTCCAACAACACCACCCTGTCAGTCTATTATGATAATGGCTTTAAAGAATACCACAAACTTTTTGTTTGTCTTAAAATATTTTTATTCTGGTTTGGCAATATAATTTACATTCTCACCCCTCAGTGATTCATAGATCAGAGCATGTTTTCTGACTTGATCAGTTCTGTGATGATTTGTATGGTTTTCTCATCTGAAAAGGATACAAATAAAACAGAAAAAAAAAACAAAGACTGCACCCTTGTTCTATAAATATATAAAATAAAATAAAATATTCAACAATAAGTTACCTTCCAAATTCATTTTGGGGTTGGCCAATTTCCTCTCCAGGAGGGAGTCGATCAGTTTGCGAAGGTGTTTGAAGATCACGCCAATTCTGACTGGAGCCTGATGGGAAATGAAACGGTGTTAACTGTTATTATTAGAGTTATCTTACAGTTTGACAACCATTTTATGACGCATCAGTGCTCTTGCCAATGAAGCGATCAATGCAAATCAGGCAACCAACCAAACATAGACAATCAATGAGAAACAAGACACGCATACAAAAACTTTCCCTCACCTGGAAGTAGATCCATCCATCCAGAGAGATGAGTCTCTCCCTGTGCTGCACGTCAATATCACCTCCAAACAGCAGCATGGATAACGGTGAGATCAACGTAGTGTCTCTTAGAAACACCTTTGTGTATTTCACCTGTAGGCAAGATGAGAAAATAGTGGTTCAAGTCACAAATGTATGAATGACCAGGGTAATAAGAGACTTTTTTCAAGAAGTGTCACGAAAGGTCACAGTAATATATTAAAGCTAGTCCAACGCACCTTTTCCTGGAAGAGCAGCCAACCGTGGGTCTGTAGGAAGCGGTTGACTGAGGAGGGGTGAACGTGGGCCTTTCCCTGAGCCGTCTCAGCCACACACGCCACCCGCTCCTGAACGTCCAGAGAGGGAGTGCAGAGGATACGGCCCACGCTGTCATACAGACCCGCAGTCAACACGGCTTTGAGAACTGAGACGTCCTGCTGGGAGAGAGAGCCGAGGGCTTTGGGTTCAGCGCCGGGCCGAGAGCGAGGAGTTCGGCCGGGCTTGGAGGCGACGAAACCGGCCTGCTCCACCATCCTAATGAGCTCATGCTTCACATCCTGAGGAAGAAGTTAAATAAGTTTAATGTATTGCCTCTAAATATTCAGAAATACATTCAAAATTCCTACATTCACTTGAACACACCTCAATTTGTGAATTAATTCAATACATTTTCAGATTTTTTTTGTGACAAAGATAAAAAAAAAATGACAAGGTATCTATGTATCTGTCTGGAGATTATAAAAAAAAAGTTCAATTTTGGTTTTAATATTTTAGTATTTGAAAACCATTTTCTGAATAATCAGTGTGGTGTTCCCAACATACAGGAAGCCATTTTGTGATAGAAAACCACAAAATAATAGCACATATTTTAGATATTTTATCTACGATAATATGTTTAAAATCTTTTTTTTACCTATTTTTTTTTTTTACCTTTTACCTATTTTTAAAAATCGTTTTAGGTAACTGAAATAAAGCTGAAATAAAATAAAATATAAATAATAGATGAATATTAGAAATGTAAATATAAAATTGAAATAAGTTCAAATACTAAATTACTGAGTACTAAAACACTAAAACTAAAAGTAAAATCAAAATAAATTAAGGTTACACAGAAATATAAAAAACTAATAAAAATGACAAAAGCATGCAACAAAATTTCCAAAATAAAATTTTAAATAAAAACTGAAAAATATATACAATTATAAATAAAAATATTAACAAATACTTTAGAAGTATACAAATAATACTAAAATAACTCTACATGGTTACACCACTTGACATTTTAGAGACATTAATAATTCTTTCTGTTGGTATAAATTATATAAATATTTTTCAAAATATTATTTTATTTAAATATATTTACTTGGAAAACTATGTTTGAAAACATGTATTTATGATATAATCTTAAAATTTTTATATATATTTTTAATGTTATTCCTTTCACTTGATGGATAAATGTTGTTATTGTTAACTAAAACAAATAAAAAAATACTTCTATGTTATTGTGCCCCCCCCTCCAGAATTAAATATAATATAAGTTGAAGATTAGAAATGTAACAAAATTACATAAAGTAGTAAGTATACTGAAATAACTCTGGATGGTTACTCCACATGACATTTTAGAGACATGAATCTAAAATCGTTGATGGTATAAATTATACAAATGTTTTTAAAAATGCATGAAACCACCAAGAATACGTTTTTAAAAACATGGTACTTGACTTTTTAACTATATATATTTATTTTTATTTTTTGAAAGATTTTAAATTCTATTCGCACACATGCAGCTCAACCAATTCACGTTCTAGCAGATCAGCCGTACATTCGTCAGATCATGATGACTGTGCTAATGAATCAGCAAGTGTGTTAGGAGCTGTAAGAGGATGTCACCTCAATGGTCATGAGAGCGGTGCGGCTCAGGAAGTGTCTCCGGCAGTAAGCCATCTCAGCACGCGTTCCCTCGCTCCGAGAGCTCTTCCACCTGTGAACAGTAACTTCATTACAATGATTTCACTTCCTTTCTACACATAACGCCATACAGTACTGTTCTGTTGAACATGTGTGATTACCCAAGATAAGCACTGTAGATGGTCATGTGATCGGAGTTTGCGACTGCTAGGGCAGATTTAGCCAGGTTGGCCTCCTCCTTTCTGCTCATAGGAGTAACAAATGGGGACTTCTCAGACATGGCCGCTGCGATGGTAGCCTGAATAGTAAAAACAAACAAAAGTTGTTCAATACATCCTTCAATAATACTCCACAGAAGAAAGAAAGTCTAACATGCTTGGAACAACATGAGGGTAAGAAATGATGACAAAAATTGAGTAACATGCTACAAAAAACGCTCACAATGGGTTCCAGGCAGCTAAAGATGGCGCCAAAGATGAGCATTTTGCCAATCTTGACGTTGACAGGAAGGGCGGCCAAGTGATGGCCGAGTGGCGTGAGGGTGTAGCTATCTTGCTGACAGGCGCCGATCTTCCTCAGCAGACTGACAGCGTTACACACGGCCTGCTGCTGAGGCGCATCGAGAGCTCGACACAGGAAATCCTCTGGAGAACCATATTCACACTTCTGTTCACACATAGAGAGAGGTGACAGAAGTCAGTGTATTACTAACGGAAAAGATGCTTTACACGCACTACTTCAGAAGTCTGAGGTCAGACTTTTTTTAACTGACTACAAGTGACTGCAAATGCTTTAATAATATTAGAAAAGATTTCTATTTCAAGTAAATGCTGTTCTTTCGAACTTTCTATTCATCAAAAAAATCATGATCATGATTTTCACACAAATATGAAGCAGCGCAACGGTTTTCGACATTGATAATAATCAGAAGTGTTTCTTGAGCAGCAAATCAGCATATTAGACTTATTTCTGAAGGATCATGACACACTGAAGACTGGAGCAATGTTGCTGAAAATTCACAGGAATAAATTACATTTTAAAATATATTCAAATAGAAAACAGTTATTTTCAATTGTAATAATATTTCACAATATTACGTTTTTTACTGTTTTTGATCAAATAAATACAACCTTGGTGAGACTTCTCTCAAAAGCATTAAAATATCTTATCGACCACAAACTTTAA